ACCACCCTTTTAAATTTAGGTGATGTTATGGACCAATTATGGGAATGTGGCAGCCGTCTATTGCACAGTTTGGGCAATTCCTCTGTTTCTCGAAACCTGAAATAACGTCCCGGAGATATTCATTATTAGGGAAACCACAGACTCGTCTAACAGAACATCTTCTAGAGGGGAACAAACGTCATGAATACAATAAAGACTTTTGTTTTCCCAACTCCGAATAGATTTGCAACTATTCTGTATTCGGGAGTTGTGGCAAGCCAATACTAAGCACTAGCAAGCTTTTTTCTGGTAATCAAAGGACGACGTACATAGTTTTCCTTTGGTTTGAGACACTCGGCCACTTTGGTATTAAGCAACTCAAATACACCTTTAGTCATCCTAAAATTGTCATTCCAATCATTGTTGTCGCCTGATCTAATCATGTCGTCCCATCGTGATGATTGCCTGTTTCCAAACTGAGTTGTCACTGAAATATCCACAAATTAATGCAGATGGGAACTTTTCTCCGATAGATCTGTTGTCTGTCCATTACAACGTCAAGCTTATGACTGAAACTGGGATGAAAACTTTATTGAAAATCATATTTACACACTCTAATTACGCTCTTTACTTAATTGTCACGTGAACACACAATTAATTTTCATCTACACATGCGAGTGTATGCATTTGCAAATATGTAAATATACTCACATATGTAAATCATGTTCATGCGAACAGGGTATAATTGTAATATATATATTACCAATCACAAATGAATACTTTCTGCCAGGGGTCAGAATCCAAGCACATTCCTCATCATACATCCAGACAGATTTGCTATGCGACAAATACTGTTTGTACTATTATCCTTTGAATTAAACTCCACACGATAATGCAATATTGCAAGAAGGAAAAATATTACGTCAATCACCAACCCTCAAATGATGTCAGACCGATTTCACATATTCCAAACCTCTTTGGTCAGACCAGCAATTCTGACGTGGATTGTCTTCTATTTAGTTAACCTTAAGACTGGTTTCCAGAAGAGGTGCGCAATAAAACTACAGGTCATGGTCAGATACATTTTATTCTTAACCGTCACTTTTTGTGGTGCAATAACACACGCTGTTTTCCTTTTAAATTCCTTTTAAATGCCTTGTAGACGTTATCTCTTAATTGATGTAGCAGGAAGGGCGGGCCATAGTTTTGGTAAACTTTCGTCATTGACAGATTGCAATTGAAAATTAAAACAACAATGTCTTTATTGTTTTAACTGAATGCCTACATATTCACAACCCAATTCTACGTACAGCCATACATAAACATACATAATTATGCCCATGCGTATACAGTAATAACTGAAATAAACAGATGTAATTCAACTTATTAAAATTGAGCACCAGACAAGAACAACTAGTCAACCTTCGTTGACTATAGGGAAGGGAGGTAACTCTGCGTAATGTGGCTATGTAGTGAGTAAGAGAAATGATAAAGCAATCTACCATATTAACATGTCAAACATTTTTTAAACTCTTATAAACACAATAGTACACCAATATCTTTAAAATGTTAAAGAAAATGCTTACATTCTCTAATTATGCTAGAAACATTGATATTATATAATTAGCCATTGAGGACAAACTCCGAAATGTCTTTTGTTGTTCTGCTGTGTACATAATGTACATAGAAAGCTGACTCCGTTTTCCATCTCCGGACGTTCCTGACAATTTTAGGATCCTGACAATTCTGAATTGCCACTGTTGCTCCTGTTGGACGGAACGACTGTGCAGAACACTGCTTGGAAGAGATTCCGGCATCTTTTATGGGTTGTTCTGTAATCTGTGAAATAGTAGATGCTCGCAGGCCTCTGTGGGGTGCATACAGAGACAACAACTACTAGTATCCGTTCGGAGAGAGTCTGTCCGCTGTATGTAATCCTTCAGCGTCTTCAGGAGTCCAACTTGCTGCAATCTGCAGGCTGAAGGAAAACTTCAAAGCCATTACGCGAAGCGTAATTTTTATGCCAAAGAAGTTAGAGAATAGTCATAGAACCATCCGCATGAAAAAAACGATTGATTCGCGGTAGACTCGTTCTCCCAGTCAAGCGCGTCTGGGCGTCAAAACGTACTGATTTCGAGGCGATATCTGATGGGCACAACATAGCGACCAGGGCCCGGTTTCACAAAGCTCTCGTAGGCCTTTTTTCCGTAGCATTGGTACTTGCTTTACTGTAACATCAATGTTGAACGCTGCATAGGAACCTCTGTACCAGACTTAACTAGAGCCTGTACTAATCTAGATACATCAGGAGTGTGCACCATGTTCTTAAGATTCATAGTTTCATGCAGACAAGATATAGTCGCACATGCACTTTTCAACTGAGATTTTGGCTTACGTGTGAATCCGAAACCTTACACAGAAAAGTTTCCGTCACAGATGTACTAGTAAGTGGAAAGACAAATTTCTCTTCAACACAAAAATCTCTAAATTCGATTACATAGGAATTGTACAAATGTAGAGTTCGTTTTCCAGGAGTAAGTTTTCCTGGAAATATTGCTAAGGTACTTTCAAGTCTGCAGGGAGTTTTACATTTTTTACAGTGTCAGGTATCGTTTTATACTCTCCCTGAATATGCAAAGCTGCATTTTGTATAAAAGCGGCACCCTGGGCTCTATCGTGCCGAATCCCCTCGGGATTAAAATCACCACTTGATATATCATCAATCTGCCTAGCACTGCTGCTATGTCTATCCCGCACACATGAGGTAGGGTCAAAATTCACTGAACCATCCAGTCCCGACTGACTATCAGCACCCTAGGATATAAGTCAAGCGTCTAATATAACAAATATCATGGTCTAAAAGATCTAACATATGTGTTGTATCACGATGCTGTACTTTCAGCTCCTTCAAAGCTTTAATTATCTTATTTAGCATGCAATCTTTTTCGTCAGCCTTTTCGGCCATGTCGGTGAACGTAGCACCAGACACGAACAACTAGTCAACCTTCGTTGAGGGAAGGGAGGTAACTCTGCCAAATCTGCCTGACCACAGGTTTAATTCGAGCTAGTCCGGGGGAACGTGAAGTCGGACGTCCGATTTTGGGAGATATATCAGATATCCAGATCCCTCTAAAAAGCGCGCCCTTATAACACCACGCCCAGGTGGATCGCCAACTGACCACACTTGCCAAAGAATTGTTGTTTGAACTGGCCTACAGAGGAATGGACGAGTTACTTATTTATTTTAGTAAGGAGTCTCGTTTTTATCTAGGTATGACCATGGGAAGCGGTCCTGGTGCTAGAAAAATTGAGAGGTTTGCTAACACATACATTTGGAAATCATTTACCATGGACCTGATGTTTTCTAGCGAATCGATTGATAGGCGATGGATGACAAACAACTTTTGTTTCAGTAACCGTTTATATATTTTCTCATTTAAGTGTGTAATATAATTAAGTCAGTGGTATAATGATGTTTTTGGTCAAGACTAAAGAGTGCTTATTGTAAGCTGTAACCAGCCTCTAAGGTCATTTATCAATGATTTACATGTCACAACATCGTTTTACACACACCCCTATAAATCTAAGATGAGGGATATACATGTACGTTGTAAATTAGAAATCAGTGTCTTTCCGTAGTAACATATATCTAATTGATCGTCTTCTCTTGATAGATCTACCACGCTTTCTGTTAGTCACAATATGGCTGAAATATTGCCGATGTGACTCACTCACTCACTCTGTGGTGCTGACAAGATAATTTCAGCTAACCACAGGCTAATGTTCATATGTGCAAATATGTCTAAGTTCATTGTGAAAAAAATCAACATTTTCTTTTCTGTTATATTGTCTGGTGATGTCATGACAAATGTTATTTATCTTATAAACACTATACTTAAACTCTCGGTAGTTTCGGGAACACCAGTAGCTTTTAAGCGTTTTATAGCTTTAACTGTTAAGATATGCAATCTATTTGTTTTTACATGTTTCATAAATGATTTGGTTTTAAGATTTTTACTGTATAGCTCCTTTAATTATCATGTGGGTTTTTTATCATAAAAACAAAACAGGCGTAGATTTCTCTGACAAAATGACTTAACACACCATCTTATCTCTGGTGACATATGCCTCTCATTTCACGCAACGTCAACCATTCAGTCGGGACACTGATAACGCTGTGTCATCAAGGAGGAACGTGTAAAGCAGCTAGCAAACAGCAGTGGCCTCTCATGGTTGATGACCTTGGATTTGGTTGTAATAGAAACGCCATTAAGTCATTTCAGTTATGTCCACAAAGACTTTTTATATACAAATGTAAAATGACGCCAACATGTCCAATCTACATCTTCCCCCGCACTAAACTGACAACTCTTGCCCGGATGGTTTGACTCAATAAACGTATGTAAATGAAAAGTTGTTTGAACATGCTGTAATGAATATTTATCAAATACATTATCGCAACCATTAATGTGACTCTCACACGGGTGGTCACTGTGGAACTTAATGGTTCGACATGTTATGTCTAACAAATCAATAGATGGTAAGGATTCAGTAAACACAAGCTTTCCTATCTTTGAATTTTGAAAATAGCTAAACCACGTTTAACGTTTGTTTTCACGTTTGAATATTCACTGTTTCAACATGCAGATGACATGTTCCCCATCCATTCAGTGATGGTTATACAACAACACGGAAAGGGACTGCCAAATAGTTCCATGATAATCCAAGCACAAAGCAAACTTTTCACCTCCCAGTGACAGTAGCATCCAGAGAGTGAATGCTTCGCCCTATCAGTGATAGTGTGGAGAAAGAATCAACCCCCCAACAATGTAACGATAGCAACGAGCAAAAAGCATATACTCAGCAGCCAATAACAGACGTAACTAACGAGAAAATCAAGGTATAAATGATTTCGTACCAGTTCATAGTGAGATAGACACCAAGGAGGCGAGACGTTTCATTTATTAGAAAATACTGCACACAGACAGTTTACCATCCGATACACAGGCAGCCTCACCACCATGTTTCTGAATCTGTTCGTTCTGCTACATGCCTTTGCCATGGCATGTGGAACTGACTTCTCGCCTCTGTACAAGTTACATGAAACAGTCACTAAAGGCTACAATCCACACATTCGACCTATTAAAAACATGAGACTGGCTACAAATGTAACGGTGGACTTTACGTTGTATTCTGTGGAGGATGTAAATGAGGCCAGTGAAACTTTAACCTCGTCTGGGACTTTCAACATCACGTGGTATGACGAGTGGTTCGTGTGGAACATTTCAGATCATGCCAACATTGAGAAAATTTATTTGCCACTACATCAAGTGTGGAAGCCAGATCTGGCTGTGTCAAATACCGTTGAGGACTTCCGCTTTTTGTCAGATACAGAAGGACTCGTGTCTGTCACAAAGACAGGATTTGTCAGTTGGTCCCAGACGATGAGACAGATTACAAAATGCCCCATGGACATGAGCAAGTTTCCCATAGACACACAGACGTGTAGACTGAACATTGTTCAGTGGGTTTCTGACAACAAAGATGTGTTTGTGCAGGGTGGGTCAGTGAAGTCAGATTACACTTCGTTTCGAAGTAATGGAGAATGGATAGAAATCGCAAAAAGTATGAAAGCAGAAACTCTGTCCCTCGGGGAAACTTCATGGAACAATATTTGGTTCACTTTTACCTTTCAGCGGAAGCCCTTACAGTTTGTGATTACTAGCGTCCTGTCTGTGTTCCTGCTGTCGGTTCTCAATCTTGGCGTGTTTCTTCTTCCTCCTGAATCGGGGGAGAAGATCTCACTGAGTATCTCCGTGTTCCTGTCCTATGCCCTCATCCTGACAGATATCAACGAAGACTTACCCCCTTCATTCGACTCCCTTGCTATCTATAATGTCTATCTTCTCTCAATGTTGTTGGTTAAGGTCATTACTGTTTGGGCCACCGTCGCCATCTTGAAAAGGTATCACACCGATATGCGCGCTCATCAGGTGTCGTCTGCTTCATCTCAGGGAGGGCGTGAAGGCAACAGTGTAACACCTGATGATAGTAAAGGAAGATGTTATGAAAGGAAGCTGTCAGCAGATGCTCTGAATAGAGTTTGTTTTTTAGCCATCAGCTTGATAATGATTGCCACAACAGCAGCTTGTTTAGCTCTCTTACTGTTTTGATCTGGTCCGCTTGTGCAAATCTGAAAATATTTGTCAGTCACTACCTAGTAAACTCCTTTTTAGTGAACTTTTGCATTTTGTAAATTCAGGCCAGTGTGTTTAATCGATCACTCGCCTCTCTGAATACAGGCTACCCGTGAAGGTCACACACTTCTCCGAAGACACATTACTATATTTTGTGACTTACTGCCCATACACACTCAAACACCACCATCAAGACGTACCTGTGTGGGATTAGATTCATGTGCCTGAAGTACAATGTGTTAAACCCATGGATTCATGGCTCTACTGCTAGCCTTCATAAAATCATTCAGGCTCTCAAGAAGCTCCACTCCTAAACGCCTGCCAATCTCTATTGACATACTTACAGATTTGTGTCAAAAGCTGAGCCAAGTGTGTTCACGCCATATGTTGACTTACTTATGAAGGTATCATGCTGTATAGCCTTCTTCGTTTTTTTAAGATGTTGCGAATTCACTTGTGAGTCGTACAACCCCGGACCACACTTGTCTTTGAACTCTGTGTCATTCAACCCAGATTTACCATCAGTTTCACTTCGACTTAAGGCTTCAAAGACTGACCCCTTCGGAAAAGGGGTCATCATCAGGCTACAGCGACTGCCCAACGCATCAGTGTGCTGCCCGGTTAGGACGCATCTCCAATATCTCGTGCAACGCAACCAAGGGCCGGCACACCCCACAGACCCATTGTTCCTAATGCCCAGTGCTTTAACCATGAATAGGAAATTCTTCATCGACCATCTCAAACAGCTGTTAAGCGTGATTGGGTACGATCACACTGCGTACAATGGCCATTCCTTTAGAATCGGTGCTGCGACTACAGCAGCTTCAGCGGGCATTCCAGATCATATGATCAAGACCCTGGGACGTTGGTCTTCTGGCTGTTACACCTAATATATACGTACAGAACAACATAGCAATCGTCAAGCACAAGTGGCTATGGCAAGTCACCCTCGTGCATGAGACGTAGGGCAGAATCAGCTTGTCCAGTGTGTTACCAAGGGACTATCTGCCCTATAGTGACGTTAGGTTACCCCTAAGGTTGGTTGTGGGCCACCCTAGTTGTTCCAGGTGTTCCTATATCACTTCTGAATCACTGTCAGTGGCACATTTAGACTTATACAGTATGTTCCTTTTCCGTACTATGGCCACATGATGCCGTGTATCACAGCAAAAATAACAAGGTTTCCAGTTTTCCGGAAACACCTGAAACTGGGTAATGTGAGAATCATTTTGGTTTCCGCTCACGGAAACTATGATTTTGGTTCCCGGATGTTTCCTTTTGCTGAAACTAACAAGGTTAGTTTCAGCAACTGGAAACTGCTAGAAACCAACAAGGTTAGTTTCAGCAACTGGAAACTGCCAGAAACCAGCAAGGTTAGTTTCAGCAACTGGAAACTGCCAGAAACCAACAAGGTTAGTTTCAGCGACTGGAAACTGCCGGAGACCAACAAGGTTAGTTTCAGCGACTGGAAACTGCCGGAAACCAACAAAGTTACAATATAGTAGGCGATAATGTTAACATCCCTAACTCCTAGCTCGGTTCTTATTCTCAGGTCAAAGTACTACATTTTATTTCTGTTTTACTTAATCAATCTTGATATTTTTGGGATTGTAGTTAGATCACAACTGTTCATAATGGCTAATGGAGATTCTCGGTTAGATCATAACTCCATTTTGGGCAGTTTTCACTGATAAACAGTAAAACGGGTGGGGTGGGGGTGGGGTGCGGGGTAAACAGTTTGTTTAGCTCTCTTACTGTTTTGATCTGGTCCGCTTGTGCAAATCTGAAAATATTTGTCAGTCACTACCTAGTAAACTTCTTTTTAATGAACTTTTGCATTTTGTAAATCCAGGTCAGTGTGTTTGACCGATCACTTGCAACACTGAATACAGGTTGACTCGTGAAGGTCCGGGTTAGAATATTGATCTTCAGTAACCCATGCTTTTCGTACGAGGCGACTAACGAGATCGGGTGGTAGGGCTCGTTGACTTGGTTGACATATGTCATTGGTTCCCAATTGCGCAAATCGATGCTCATGCTGTTGATTGTCTGGATTGTCTGGTCCAGACTGGATTATTAACAGACCGCCGTCATGTAGCTGGAATATTGCTGGGTGTGGCGTAAAACTAAACTCACTCACTCACTGAATACAGGTTGATGTGTTGTAACTTCATGACTTGAAGATTTATCTGGACATGGTAAAAATCCTTCTCATTATGATAAGGAATCTCCATTGTACGTTTGACAGTATATCAAAATTATGTGTCGATAACCATTCTGATTTTAATGTAGACATTCCGCCTGTTGTAAAAAATATAGTATTATAAGATATATTGCATTGTTTCAGAGGCAAACAAATGAAGTGTGGTTTGACGAGCATTCTGTTGAGATGTTCGAGGTACACCATAATACATAAAGACAACTTGTAGATGTACAACCTAAAACTTTGCCATGACTGTGTTATCATTGTTGTTGCCTTCTTATTATGATATTGATTTAGAGATGCATAAAAGTAAAATAAAATACATGTAGTGTTCTGTTTTCTCCAAGCCTAGAGGCCGTTTTCTCTAGCTGCGGTGCGGTGCTTTTTGGGGCCGTTTCACTGTAATCCCCATTGACCATACGGTGTCGAGTGCATCGTATCGTGGCTACAGGAGTTACGAGTTACTCATTTTACAAACGAGTCTTGCTTTTATCTAGATTCTCATGACGGTAGGAAGCGGGTCTGGCTCTCGAAAAATGAGACATGTGCTAACTGTTGTGAACACGATACATTTGGATGTCGATCTGGCATCTTCGGACGGACATCCATGTTATTCTCAGTGGAAAACAGACTGTGAGATATTGAGGTGAGATCAATGTGTAGATTTCTTACTGTTCTGGTAATTCATGTACAGTCTGTTTTTTACCTGATAAGTTTGCATTGTTTCCAATGCTGGACTGACTTTTGTTATAACGAGTAAAAGATTTATCATTGGGAACTGGTACGTATACATCTTTAAGTATTTAAGTAACGATGCTAAGGACCAACATTTGACACCAGGAACTATTCTGGGTGTTAGTGTGGCTCGTTGGAATCTTTGGTACAGATGGGTGGTTCGAATCCAACGATCGTTGTGTGGCGTGGTTACAGGTGGACGGCAACTTTCGGGACGATCTGCATATGGTGTTCCTGTGAACGCTGGGGTGTTCCGGTTTCATTTCCAGTAAGCTGTGGCAAGCTGTTGCATGGAGAAATGCAAGCAGATTCTTCCAAATTTGTGTTTTTCAAACAATGATTTAGGTGACAATGATTCGAGGTTAAGAGCTACATTTTAAAGGGCACATTTGATGCTTTTTGACTTCTTGAAAGCACGAAAAACGTAATGGTTGCAAAACAAAAAACTACCAAGAGGGCCCTGTTTGGGTTATGGATTAAGTGTATTATAAAGAATATTATAAAGCTTTATCAAAATGTTCTCATTTATATAAACAAATGCGTTCATCACACTAACCTTTGCCTTTGAGAATACTATGATTAATAAATGTGGTAGATCAAAATGTACTTCGAATGTTTTGGGACTTACGTATCCTCTCAGGAGGACAATATTTTTTACAATACTTTAACCCCTTTTGAGAATACAGTCACTCGAGTGATAATTAATATTATTAAAAAGATGCTGAACACTTTGAACACAGAAATATTTATACCTTGGCACGTAAAAACCATTAAAATGACTGTGCAAGTTTAAATTTTACGTCACATCGACAGTATTTCAGCCATATCATGACGACAAAAGGTCATATACTGATAATAAATATATTCATACTTGTTTTAAAAAACAATCTGTTAGCAAAGGACAGTATAACAGCTAGATTATCGCAAATTAATCAAAACTAGTTTGAGTTCAGCGTAAAATGCTTAATCTTAACACAATATATACTGAGTAAAAAAAGAAACTTCACATTCTTTCTTCAGGGCACTATAAAAGAGCAAGAGATGGTAAGATGGTTAAATTGTTATTATTTCATTGCTAAGATTTGTGTGATGTACTCGATACACTGACAGTGCCATAATCAGTTCCATTAGGCTACACCGCCGTTCCAAAACATGGGTATACAGAATGTCAAGTCACAAGAATAAAAATGCAAAACTTCTCAGATCAATATCGTGTATGGCCGCCCCGCGCATTCACCACTGCCAAACACCGTCTCCTCATCGACTGCCTGATGCTTGTGAACACGTGGTTAGAGATTCTGCGCCATTGCTCTTGCAAGGCAGCGCCAAGTTCCTGCAAATTCTGAGGTTGGTTCCTAAGACCACGAAGCCTTCTCCCAAGTGCATCCCAAACGTGCTCTATTGGATTAAGGTCAGGGGACCTCGATGGCCAGTCCATGACGTTGATTCCAGCGTTTTGAAGGATATTTCGTGTCAACATCACGGTATGCGGCCGAGCATTATCATGCTGGAACTGTAGACCTGGGCCATGAGCCGCCATGAAAGGAACGAGTTCAGGGGTGAGCACCTGGTCGCGGTAAGCAGCAGCTGTGAGGTTTCTACGGATGACCAGGATTCGGGAACGGTTGTTCCCACAGAAAGCACCCGACACCATGCAACTTCCGCCCCCGAATCTGTCGACTTCCTGTACACAACATAGGGCATACCGTTCACGACGTCGTCTCCAGACTCTATGCCTGCCGTCCGCGAATCTGAGGGTAAACCTGGATACATCGCTAAAGACGACTCCAGTCTCTCTGGGTCCATCGGAGGTGACGTTGGGCCCACAGCAGACGTTGACGTTGATGAAACGGCGTCAATATTGGCCCACGATATGGACGTCGAGAATGGAGATTGGCAGCCCGCAACCGATTTCGAATGGTCTGTGAGGACAGTCGACCTCTAAACATCTCAGCCCTGGTCCGTGTAGCCGGCAGAAATCTGTCACGTAGGTGACGTAGGAGGATTTGACGGTCTTCTGCTCGTGACGTCACACGTG